TGTTAGTAGTAGTAGTAGTAGTAGTAGTAGTAGTAGTAGTAGTAGTAGTAGTAGTAGTAGTAGTATGATTATTATAATTATCCTCAATCTTTTTTTAGAAATCACTTACATCCATCTTCCAAGTGTATATCCCTCAACACAATCAGATTCCTTGGCTACGGTGCCTCTAACTCGCGCCACACATATAGAAAGCAATTACGATCAGGAAACGAACAGTACAGAAACACAGCTTCAGAGAAAGCCCAACACATGTATGATAATAATATACTGTTGTGTCCGAAGACGCCAGTTTGAAAACGAGAAAGAGTGGTCGTCGTAGGTTAAAACTGAGCGGTTAAATGAACACACTATGAATGTGTCCACTTTGACGGGACACGCCAATTTACTGGAGAACCAGTCCTTGACTGACCTGTGATCACTAACAGGGAATGTGAGTAACAACAGAGCCGTCAAGATACGGTATTCATATTATTCATATTGTGTTTTTTGAGAGGACGTAAGTACGAAGCCTGCCCCCCCCCCCAACCCCCCGAAAAAAGAAAAGAATAGAAAGGATCTATAAAAAAAATTACACATTTATCACCCCTCTCTTTGTCGTTGGCTGTTGTTTGTTATACTCTCGTTTCTTTGAAAGGTGGGGGGTACATGTACTTGCCCTGCTTCACTCAAACAGATACATGTAGTTTTGTTTTGTTTCATGTTTTCTATTGGTCCAAAGGTCCTACCTTCAAGATTAGAGACATTTTGATGAAGTAGTAAGAATAAAGCAGAAACGAGACAAAGAAAAGAAAAAGGAGAGAGTTCACCAAGAGATTTATCAGGCGTGAACATCTGAGTATAATGGCCGCACAATTCTGACGTCGGCTGATTCCACCCTGCTCGTGAGGACCCACCATCAGGGCTGATTCCCGATGCACACTGTCAGTAGAATTGAGTTGAATTGAGTCGAGGTGTTCAGCAGGGCCCCCTTTCTAAGAGGATCATTTTGCTCCTGTCAATGGGCTATCCTCTTTGACATGTTCAACTAAATTTGACTTTTATCTCCGTTAAGGCCTTGCCTTGAAATCCCACTCACCCCCCCCCCAAATGATATTAACAATCAACTCAAGTCTAAGAACGTTCATTTAGTGCTTGGAGCTGAGGCCTTGTTCACAATGTAACCAACTGAGCCATTCTGGGCAAGTCCCAAATATAACACTGAGGGCTTTCGTGGTCTAGAGGTTATGATGTTTTCCTCTCATCCAATAGGACCCGGGTTCGATTCCGGATAGCGACGAAAAATTTTCTTTTCTAAAATTGTTTCCTTTTACCTCCTTTCCTACTCTCTAGCAATGTTCTGTCGTCTGCCTTCGTCTCTACTTTCTGCCCTCTCCCCCTCACCTTCTTTGTCCCCTCCTCTTGGTTCCTGACTCTTTCTGCAGTCTTTCTGCTACTCTTTGGCTCCTTCTTACTGCTGTCTTTCAGCCACACCCCTGATCTTATGGTAGGTAAGATCTAAGACCTAGCCTTCTCGGATAAGAGCGCAAATTCTCGGAGTTTCCGTGTGAAAGTTGCGCACGGTAAAGATCCCACGGTTGCCCAAATATCGATAAGAGTAGACTTCGGCTGCCACACAGGCAAAATTCAAAAAGTCCTTCCAACTGAAAATATGTAATGTGTCCCTTACGCTCATATGACGTTCCGCAGATGCGAGCGCCGTAAAACACTTACCAAAAAAAAAAAAAGAAAAAATCCACCGCGCTAAAAGTGCACGCGCAGTGGCTGCTGCTCGGACGCCACATAATGGACGCCGGTTGGAGGCCTGAAAAGGACGCGCAGGTGGAGAGCAAGGGTCAAGGCGAGCATGCAGCCAGGAGAAGACAGAGTGGAAGCCACGGGCTCTCGTGACCTAGAGGTTGAGGTGTTCGCCTTTCATTCAAAAGATCCTGGTTCGAATCCGGGTAGTGACGGAAAATGTTTCTTCTCTAAAATTGTCTCCTTTTACCTCCTTTCCTGCTCTCTAGCAGTATTCTGCCGTCTGCTTTCATCTCAACTTTCTACCCTCTCCCCCTCACCTCCGTTGCCCCCTCCTCTGGGATCCTGACTCTTTCTGCAGCCTTTCTACTGTCACTCCTTGGCTCCGTCTTACTGCTGTTTTTCAGCCACACCCCCTGATCTTCTGGTAGAAAAGATCTACACCTAGCCTTCTCGGACAAGGGCGAAAAATCTCGGAGGCCCCGTGTGCACGTTAAAGATCCCCTGGTTGTCTAGAATCGATAAGTGAAGGCTTCCATCGCCACCCAGGCAAATTTCAACATGTCCTACCAACTGGAAATTGTGATGTGTCCCACCCATTCATATGACCTTATGCAGTTAAGAGCGCCGTAAAACACTTACCAAAAAAATAAAACATAAAAAACAATGGAAGCCATTAGGCATTCCTCCTGGGCGACTCCCTACTTCCCTTGTTATCTTGTCACCTCGCAATATGGACAAAAAGGAGTTATTCGATGGATGGTTTTGTATTGGTTAAGAAAACGACAATGAGAGGGAGAGTTTGTGTGTGTGCGTGTGTGTGCGTGTGTGTGTGTGGGTGTGTGCGTGTGTGTGTGTGGGGGGGGTGTAAGTGAGTGTGTGAGAGAGAGAGAGAGAGAGAGA